TGCTAACAGATCCAAATCTGATTTTTCTCTCGAGCTCTTTAATTTGCCTTTCATGCTCATAGACAACATCCTTATTCTTCCCACCTAACGTAAAATTGCATACCTTTATACTTTCAGACAGTTCTCTCCATAAGTATTTATATTGTGCTTGCTTTATGCTGGACATTGTTATGAGTGGTTTAGATAAAACAACAACAACTGAAAAACCAGCCTCTACCTCAGAGCAAAGCCTGTCCAAGGAAGGGACATGACCTTTGTCCTTGGAAAGACCCACAGAGCACTCCTAGGCACATTCCCACCCTGCTAAGTTGTTTATCTACAAATAACAGGAGATATCTGCTGCACCAGGTGTCCCTGACTCAGTCAGGCTAGGTGGGGATCCATAGCAACCCCCTAGCATCCACCAATCATCACGAGACAGGGAAATACCTGGGATGCCAGATGACCCTCCCAGTAGTTTATGGTGGTTGATAATGTGTTGGGAAACCATGTAGTTCAGCATGTACACCCCTTTTGGCTTAAACCAATCAGTTCAAATGAATCCCCCTCTTGTAGTAACCAATCACCCCTACCCAACTTGTTCCCACCAGTGAATGTGCTAATCATGTTTTAGAGTTGTTATATGATTTTCCCGTGGTGTGTGATGATTTGCTAAGAGATGCTATGATGTATGTGGGGGTCCCTGCCTTCTCCAAAGAGTGTATAAAACTGCTGCAAACCCTGGGCTCAGGGCCTCTCAGTGTCACCAGTTGCTGTGTGCACACGGAGGACCGAGTTATTGCAATAAACACCTCTTTGCTGTTTACATCGATCTTGGTCTCTGGTGGTCTTTTGGGGGTCCCGAATTTGAGCATAACACAACAATGACAATAAAATCTATATTGTTTAGTGTTTATGTGGTGCCTGGCAGTATGCTGAGTTTACAAATACTAACTCATTTGACTCTATGAGGTAGATATTATTATTATGATTTTCATTTTATAGAAAAAGTACAGTGAGGCACGAATAGACCAAGAAACTTAACCAAAGTCAAGTTTGCTAGCTATTGAGATGTGATTTAAATTCAGGTATTTGGGCTCCAAAGTTTATGCTCTTAAATTTTAGTTTAAGGGTAGAAGTATATCTTTATCCCTCCAGAATCAAATTAAACTACACTTTTGTAGTCATTTTGTTGCTTTAATGGCCTTCCCCTCCCCCCGCCCCCAGTACTGGAGATTGAATGTTCAGTCTCTGTGCCTACTAAGAACATAACTCCACCACTGAGCTACATCCCCAAATATCCCCAGCCCCCAACTTCCTTCTTTCTATTCCTTTTCCTACTATAACCTTTTATTCTTTTGGGAAATATTCAAGTAAAGCACATTGATGGAGCAGCTGCAGCTCCTGGAGACTTCCCCTGGCCTCAATATCATAATTTGCATAACTGAAGAAGGAACCCAGTGAGTTCTGCAGGCTTCTCCTAAGTTCTTGCTAGCTAAGTTGCCTTCCTGGTTGAGTCCCTTTTCTTTCTGCTAAATTAGTGTCATTTCCATAATCAAACACACTGTGATCACTGTTCCCATTATACTCTATTTCCCAAGGGCTCATTCCTGGTCATAAAGACCCATCCATATTCACTTGATAAGTCCCTGAATTTGATGTTGTGTTCTCAACCACTTAATAATCCTTCCATTGTGGTCTCTGAAAAATCCTATCTTTCACAATTTCAGTGAATTTTCCCTTCATCTTTTGCCTCTAACTGAAATCCAAAAATATTGCTTCTTCATCCTCAAATCACTACTAAATCTAGAGGTAAGGCATTGTTCCTGTTCCCTGTCAGCACTACCAAACTAGTATCCTTCTCTTCTATTTAAAACCTCTGATTCTTTGAAGTTCATGCCATCAGACTAAGCTTTACCTGTCCTTGTTGTTATTAATTGATCTTTAGTTCTCTCATCCTCAATCCTAGATTATAACTTCTGTTTCTGCATCATTTTCCCCTTTATATTTCTCTGGAGTTTCCACATCCACACAGATGGTAAATCTAATACCCTGGCCTCTGAGTTCTTTGATGTCTTCTTTCATCCACTCTCCCCAGGCACCCCCAGGAATAATAGTACCTCATACATTATTTCAGTTGCAAACTATGTTTTAATTTTCTAGCTCATTCTAGTCAGTATTTTGATTATAAGAATTGTTCAATCACACCAAGACTTCCAATCCATTAACACTTCTACCTTTACGTGATCCTTCAGACCTTCACATATTCTTACTTCCTTATCTGGCTTAGATTCTTTTGCATTCACCCCCACTTCTCCTAGAGCTCTTTCCTTGACCTTCTTCCTAGAAAAATCCAACCAGTTGCTTTATTTTCACTCAAGTAGCTGAATATGTTATTTTAAAAACAAACAAACAAACTTCCCACATCTATTTTCCCTTTTCAGCTGATAGCCTACCTTCTTATGTAATTGAGATAGTAGAAAATATCAGAGGTTACTAAGTTATTCATCTACTAGTTTCTGAACCTGTACCCATATATTAGTCTATCTTTTCTTACAATGAATAAAGCATCCTTGCTTGTAACTAAGGCCAATAGTCTGCTCTTGGACTTTCTCATTTTGTCAAAGACATTATTTCAATGTTCTCTCAACATAATTCACTCTTTATTTGGCCATATGTGTCATCCTGAATGACTCTGATAAATCACCACCTACCAACAACACCACCCTTGCTTTGATTCTGTAACCCCTGTCAGCTATTCATCCATTTCTTGCTCTCATTTATAGGCAACAATACATGCTGTTCAATTCCTTTCCCTTCATTCTTCTTGAACCAACAAGAACAAACAGCTGCCACTCTACTCTGTAAGCTCTTATCTGACCTCCATGTTGTTACAATCAATGGATGAGCTCAGTCTCCCTTTTACTTGTCTTAATGTCATTTTAAAAAAATAACACATTATTTTATTTATTTATTTTTATGTGGTGCTGAAGATGGAACCCATGGCCTCGCGCATGCTAGACATGCACTCTACCACTGAGCCACAACCCCAGCCCTAATGGCATCTTTTGACACATTGGAACTGACCACCTTCTCTGAAAAAACCACACTTGGTTTCTTTTGCCGCTTCCTTCTTATATTTCTCACTTGTTGGAATGTTCCAGGGCTCAGTTCTCATCTACTTTTCTCATACACATATTATTGGTTATGCCATCCACCATCTAGAGTTCTACAGTTTGAAAATCCATTTATAGACTAACAACTCTCAAATTTATATCTGTAGCTTGAATGTCTTTCTTCAAGTACAGAGTCAGGCCAAATGGCCTACTTGATATCTCCACATGGAATTTAAAAGGCATTTCAAATTACTATGTTCCAAATTGAATTCTGGTGTTCTTTCATAGTTTTTCCAACTCAGTAAGTTATAAGTTCATTTTTCTTGTTGTTCAAGCCAAACCTCCAGATTAATTAGCACAGAGGTCTCTAGAAAGGTAGATACCCCAGGGCAATTCAACCAGACCTGCCCCAGAAAGTCATAAAGGAGAGCTCATTGTTGTCACTTCATAGGCCCTTTGGAAAATATTTGAAGACACCCCACAGGTAGGCTGCTCAAGGATGTTGCCCCAATAATTGTCTTATACTAGAGACAATCTAGTATCTTGATTCCTTTATTATCATGCATGCTAAATACATTTTTTCATTAATTGGTTGTATTTTTAAATTCTATAGGAATGTAATCATTCCTTACCCACTCCCAAATAACTGTCTTAGGAGAGAAGCTTTCCTGATAACACTCTTAAAAACGTGACACAATTCTTTCATCTTCTGTTTCCTTGCTTTGCTTGATAGCATTTATTATTACTGACATTTATTGCCACTAACATCTTTTACATTTATATCTCTTCTGTATCCTTCAACTTATGTAAACTCCATGAGAGAAGAGACCCAACACTGCCTGGCATAGAATAGGTGTCTAATTATGGTTTATCTGTACTCCAACTTACCCTGTTCTGACAGAATATGGCTTCTACAACAGTCTCTGGTCATGCCATCATCAAAATCAATCTTCAAACTTTTCTTTGGATGGCATTTTAAGAAACCTTCCTTAATCTTTCTGAGAATATGTGCTCTCTCTCTTTTAATACGATTGTTTCTCTGCCTCACGTGATAGATAACATTATAGGTTCTAGAGTAAGAAAAAGCTAGTTTTGATTCCAGGTTGTGCCACTTCATAGCTTACTAGGTAAATTATTTCTAACTTGAGGCTCAGATTCCTTATTTATACATGGGAACAATAGTACCTGCCTCATTAGTGTTACTGTAAGGACAATATGTGAAATTAAATAATGCAAATAAAGCCCTCAGCAAATTCCCACCAAAGTGGTGAATTTTTCAACACACATTTATTAATTCCATTATTTTACACTATCGTTCCCCTTCCACTATAAACTGCAAAAGGGCAAATACAATGTGTTACTTATTTTTATATTCCCTAGAATATTTGATGAAATAACTCATAGGATGAAGCAAATTAGATTTATACAATGAAAATAATCAAATTACTGGTACTTCTGGATCTCTTTTTCTAAAGCAACGTAAGCTGAATAACTCAAACATGACATTTATTTAAACCAACTAATCATGAAAGGATATCTGCTATAAAATTGGGTGTGTGAGCTTTTTCTGTATCTCTACAATAGAATGGAAACAAATAAAAACAATCTACTGCCATCTACTGATAATGCATTGAAATTGCATAAATCAATGGGAATTGAACTTCAGAGCCAAGACTGAAGGACCTTTTTTTTTTTTTAAGAATTTTTTTGGAAAACGCCGATGCCGAGGGCCCGGCGCCATGTTGGCCCCGGGGGGGAAGGAGGGGGAGCGCTTGAGGCGGCGGAGCCGAGCGGCGGCGGGGCAGTGGATCCCGCCCCTCCCGCCTAGCGGATCAGGAGCCGGGCGGCGGCCGCCCCGGGCGCGGTGGCGGGCCAGGTGCCTGGGCGGCGCCGGCGCTGGGCGCGATGCCGTTTCCCGCGGCGGGCCGGAGAGCGCCGCTGGCGCCGCCGCAACCCTGCGGCATCTCCTCGGCGATCAGCCTGGCCGCCCCCAGGGACACAGACCACGAGCTCACGCAGAAGCTGGTGGAGACCCTGAAGCCCTTCGGGGTGTTCGAGGAGGAAGAGGAGCTGCAGCGCAGGATTCTAATTTTGGAAAAACTGAACAACTTGGTGAAGGAGTGGATACGCGAAATCAGTGAAAGCAAGAGTCTTCCGCAAGCTGTGACTGAGAGTGTCGGGGGGGAAAATTTTCACGTTCGGCTCTTACAGACTGGGAGTGCACACGAAGGGTGCTGATATCGACGCGCTGTGCGTCGCGCCGAGACACGTCGACCGCAGCGACTTTTTCACCTCATTTTACGATAAATTGAAACTACAGGAAGAAGTCAAAGATTTAAGGGCCGTTGAGGAGGCATTTGTGCCAGTGATCAAACTGTGTTTTGATGGGATAGAGATAGATATTTTGTTTGCAAGATTAGCATTGCAGACTATTCCAGAAGATTTGGACTTAAGAGATGACAGTCTGCTTAAAAATTTAGATATTAGATGCATAAGAAGCCTAAACGGCTGCCGGGTAACTGATGAAATTTTGCATCTAGTACCAAACATTGACAACTTCAGGCTAACTCTGAGAGCCATCAAATTGTGGGCCAAATGCCACAATATCTATTCCAATATATTAGGTTTCCTTGGAGGTGTTTCCTGGGCTATGCTAGTAGCAAGAACCTGCCAGCTTTATCCAAATGCAATAGCATCAACTCTTGTCCGTAAATTTTTCCTGGTGTTTTCTGAATGGGAATGGCCAAATCCAGTGTTATTAAAAGAGCCTGAAGAACGAAATCTTAATTTACCTGTGTGGGACCCAAGAGTAAATCCCAGTGATAGGTACCATCTTATGCCTATAATCACACCAGCATACCCACAGCAGAACTCCACATACAACGTTTCAGTTTCAACCAGGATGGTCATGATTGAGGAGTTTAAGCAAGGGCTTGCTATCACACATGAAATTTTGCTGAACAAGGCAGAGTGGTCCAAACTTTTTGAAGCTCCAAGCTTCTTTCAAAAGTACAAACATTATATTGTACTTCTGGCAAGTGCACCAACAGAAAAACAACATCTAGAATGGGTGGGCTTGGTGGAATCAAAGATCCGAATTCTGGAGCTTGGAGAAGAATGAATTTATTACGCTGGCACACGTGAATCCCCAGTCATTTTCAGCACCCAAAGAAAATCCTGATAAGGAAGAATTTCGTACAATGTGGGTGATTGGGTTAGTGTTAAAAAAGCCAGAAAATTCTGAAACTCTCAGTATTGATCTCACCTATGATATTCAGTCTTTCACAGATACAGTTTATAGGCAAGCAATAAACAGTAAGATGTTTGAGATGGATATGAAAATTGCTGCAATGCATTTAAGAAGAAAGGAGCTTCATCAACTACTCCCTAATCATGTTCTTCAGAAAAAGAAAACACATTCTGCAGAAGGTATAATGTTGTCAGCTGTGAATGACAGCAGCCTCCACTTGACTGTAGATAGTGAAAACAGCATGTCTGTGCCTTTACCTATGGGTGCCACAAAGACTGGCCCATTGACTGGCAGCCCTCAGGGAAGAAGCAGTCCTGCTCTGGCTGTGATGACAGCATCTGTGACCAACATACAGGCTCCTGAAGTTTCCTTGCAACAAGTGAATCCCAGTGAAAGCTCAGGGGTTACATTGAGTGAAAGCATTCCTCAGACTCCCTCACAGCCTACCATTTCTTCACCACCAAAGCCCACAGTCACCAGAGTTGTTTCTTCAACACATTTGGTAAATCATCCACCTAGACCTTCAGGAAATGCAGCAACTAATATACCTAATCCTATAGTAGGAATGTAGAGGACATTCTCACCTCATAAAGACAGAAAACCAGAACAGAAGGGCAACAACCAGGTAAGTACAGCTCAATTAGAAACAGACAGCAACTTCTCTGTTGGCCTCTCAGGAAACATCTGGCTCAGATATACTCGGTATCCCTGTTCTCTCTCCAGATCCTATTCCTGTTATCAAGAATTCAGTAAAACATACTGAATGGAAATGGATAAAGACAACCACAAGGGCCCATAAACAATATCTGCCAACTCAACCTGTTGTCTTCAAATGCTAAAGAAGGAGAACAAGGGTACCAGACTAGATATGACTCAAAAGATTAATGTTCACTTGGTAACTTCCTTTACTGACTTAATCTTGATCAGAAGTCCAGATTAGTATGTGAAGCTAGAAGTGCCGTTATTAATGCCTCAGATTATTTGTGTTAGTCCTAGTACATTAACTATTTCAAAGAGACTACTACTCTTAAAAGATGAGAAAAATATAGAAAAGAAAAAAAACAACTATATTTATACCCATGACTGACATTTGGACTGAATTTATGTTTGATGCATTTTTTGGGGAAATTTGCAATACGAACTAGTATCAGAATTCCTAATATTAATAATGCACTTTATGTACTTTTTTTTAAAGGTTAGAAACCATAACTAATTTTGGCTTTTTCAGCTTGGTGAATTTTAGTTTTTTTTTTTTTTTCCTTGAAGAAGTTTCTTCAGTACTGATCTTAAAATTGGATACCATTGTACAGTGGTGTAATATACTTCAGAGAAAGCATAAAAGTACATGTAGCTCAGTCCCTGTGAGATAACTGCAAACCCTTTAAAATGAAATGTCAACTCTTGGGTATATATTTGACATCAAAACAGTAATTACTAAGTGTTTGGTTTTGATGGGACATGACCTAGAAATGATACCTGTAGGATGGTATTAGAGAGCACATGATCAGCAATCAGACATTTTCTTTGAGCTAGCAAAGCTCCATATTCTCCTGTCCTCAATCATTTATCCTAAAATAAGCTTATGGCCTCTACCCTCTTCTCTTTGCTGTGTGCACAGGGTATGCTTGTATGTTGTTTCATTAAAAAACATGGAAATCTAGTATTTTCTAAACCATGATGTGAAACCAACAATCTTGTGCCACATGGCACAAAACACCAAATTGATTCCATGGCTAATATTTCAGTAAAACTTCACTAAATATTTGATCTCTGTGTCTGAGAAGTTTTACAAATTCCATAGAATACTGCTTTATAGGGAAGCTAATTCCCAATCTTTGTCTTTTCCATAGACCAAAAAAAAGACATTGTCTGCAAGAATCTTTAACCAATTGTTATTTTTTAAAGACTTACCAAAAATCATCAGTGAATTTTTCATGTAGTCATATAAAAATAATTTCTAGAAAGCATTTGATAGCTAGTTAGCTTTCTACTCTTTCGTTTTTATCCAAGATTAGAAATACTGTTCTTTAAAAAGAAAAAAAATGATCCCTCATAATAGAGCATAAGCAGCAGAACACCCATGTACAGGAACCACGAGGGATAATGGATGTAGATGAATGAAAGCCCAGAAGACTTAACAAATTTTCCAAGTAGCCTGGTTCTGTCTTCCCCTCTCCCACCCGTGTTTCCCTTTTCCCATGCGTGCATTCTTTTTCTTGTTTCATGTTAAACTGCAATGTTTAGACTCTTTCCCTGTCCTTCTAGATAAATTTTCCAAAGTTGGAAGATAGTCTTTTTCCTTTTAGGCTATGCAGTAATTGAGACTTTCTGAAATCTGGTATACAATATTTCTGTGTCTCACGTCTTTGCCCTGTGCAGTCACCTTACCCTTCCACGACAATAATAAATCAGGTGAAACATGCACAGTATCTGTATTTTGAATAGCTATGGTGTTTGGTTGAAATCTCCAGGCACAAGTTTAGTCTTGTCATTTTGTTTACACATTGGCAAAAAAATTAGTTTATTAAGTGTTTCATGTAGCCATACCTGTTTTACCAAGCTGGAAACTTGGGACTTTTTAATTCTAGTTTTTATTACCTGAATATCAGACAATTTTTTCATGTGATATATGTAGAGTCTCATGCCTGGGGTTTGCTTTGTTATGTAGTATCTGTACTCCTTGTATTTTCAAGCACTATTTTGAAAACAGATAATGTATTTCTCCATTACAAACACAATAAAAATAAGTGGCAAACAAATAAGTGAAACTAAAAAAAAAAAAAAAAGAATTTTTTTCACAATATCATTCTTTTATTTATTTTTATGTGGTGCTGTAGATCAAACCCAGAACTGCCATGTGCTAAGCAAGCGCTCTACCACTGAGCTACAGTCCTAGCCCAGAACTTTGAACTTAGGAATCAACTTCACAAAAGAGGTGAAAAATCTATATACTGAAAATTACAGAACCCTAAAGAAAGAACTCAAAGAAGACCTTAGAAGATGGAAAGATCTACCTTGCTTTTGGATAGGCAGAATTTATATTATCAAAATGACCATACTATCAAAAGCACTATGTAGATTTAATGCAATTCTGATCAAATTCCAAAAACATTCCCCATGGAAACTGAAAAAGCAGTCATGAAATTCATCTGAAAAAATAAGAGACCCAGAATAGCTAAAGCAATCCTTATCAGGAAGAGTGAAGCAGGTGGCATCAATATGCCAAACCTTAAAATATACTACAGAGCAATAGTAACAAAAACAGCATGCTATTGGAACCAATACAGACTGGTAGACCAATGGTACAGAATAGAGGACACAGAGACTAACCCACAAAACTACAATTAGTTTACAGTTAGTTAGACAAAGGTGCCAAGAATATGCATTGGAGAAAAGACAGTCTTTTCAACAAATGGTGCTGGGAAAACTGGAAATCCATATGCAACAAAATGAAATGAAATCCCTCTCTGTCACTAGGCACAAAATTCAACTCAAAATGGATCAAGGACTTAGGAATAAAACCAGAGACCCTGCATCTAATAGAAGAAAAAGTAGGCCCTAATCTCCATCATGTGGGATTAGGCCCCAACTTTTTAAATAAAATTCCTGTGGCACAAGAATTAAAATCAAGTATCAATAAATGGGATGGATTGAAACTAAAAACTTTCTTCTCAGAAAAAGAAATAACAATCTGTGAGGTGAATAGAGAGTCTAGATCTTGGGAACAATCTTTACCCCACACACATCAGATAGAACACTAATCTCTAGGGCATAAAGAACTCAAAAGGCTAAGCAAAAAAAAAAAAAAAAAGAAAAAGAAAGACAAATAAACAAATCACCCAACCAATAATTGGGCCAAGGACCTGAACAGATACTTCTCAGAAGATGATATACAATCAATCAACAAATATATGAAAAAAATGTTCATCATTGCTAGCAATTAAAGAAATGCAAATCAAAACCACTCTAAGATTTCACCTCACTCCAGTCAGAATGGTAGCTATTATGAATACAAGCAACAATTAGTGTTGTCAAGGATGTGGGGAAAAAGGTACACTTGTACATTGCTGGTGGGGCTGCAAATTGGTGCAGCCAATATGGAAAGCAGTATGGAGATTGCTTGGAAAATTGGGAATGGAACCACAATTTGACCCAGCTATCCCTCTCCTGGGTGTATATCCAAAGGACTTATAAACAGCATATAACAGGGACACAGCCACATCAATGTTTATAGCAGCACATTCACAATAGCTAAACTGTGGAACCAACCTAGATGTCCTTCAATAGATGAATGGATTAAAAAACTGTGGCATATACACACAATGGAATATTACTCAGCAATGAAAGAGAATAAAATCATGGCATTTGCAGATAAATGGATGGAGTTGGGGAAGATAATGCTAAGTGAAGTTAGCCAATCCCAAAAAACCAAAAGCCAAGTGTTTTCTCTGATATAAGATGGCTGATTCATAGTAGGATAGGGAGGGGGAGCATGGGAGGAATAGATGAACTTTAGATAGGGCAGAGGGGTGGGAGGAGAAGGGAAGGGGTATGGGGTTGGAAGTGATGGTGGAATGTGGTGGACTTTATTATCCAAAGTACATGTATGAGACATGAATTGATTTGAATATACTTTGTATACAAACACAGACATGAAAAATTGGGTTCTACATGTGTAATAAGAATTGTAATGCATTCTGCTGTCATATATAAATAAAAACAATTAATAAAAACTTTTAAATAAAGAATTTTCTTACAATATGTTTATTTTATATATTTTTATGTGGTGCTGTGGATCAAACCCAGTGCTTCACATGTGCTAGGCAAGCGCTCTTCCACTGAGGAACAGTCCCAGCCCAGGATTTTCAACCACATTTTTAGAAGTTAGAACATAGCCAGCCTTCGTACAAAAGGAATTAATAAATCAAATCATGAAATTTGTATACCTATTATATCCCAGTGATTTTTCCATTTTCTGACCAGGCACTAAAATTAAAATTTCACAAAATTGAAAACAGAAAGAAACAGAAAAGGTTTGTTTTGTTCCTTAACTTAATGCAGGCAGTATTCATGTTATCCATATTGCATTAAGCTTCATACCAAAGGTGGGGTTTCTCTGAATATATAGACATGTTTTGTTAGTGCCTACCAAAACATCTCATTTGGGAGTGTAGACATAAAGGAGTTGGCCTGAAACTCTAATTGAAGCTTTAAAGAATGCCCAGGCAACCACTGTAAAATGTCCCTGCCTTTGTGATAGAAATCATAGGTCTTTGGAGAAATCTAGTCATAACCTACCTGCCTGTCTATTTAGGACACTAAGGGACAAGGTTTTTGTTTTGTTCTATTTTATAACTCTGAACAAGCAGGCATCATTTCTAAACCAAGAAGAGTTTTTGGTGGGTTGAATGGTGGCTCCCAAAATACATCTGTCCATGTCTTACTACTGAAAACCCATGAATATGACCCTATGTGGGGAAAGAAGAAGAAGAAGGGATCTTTACAGATGTCATTTGGTTAAGGGATTTTGTGTGGTCTCTAAATTCAATGAAAGGTATAAGAATGAATATGTAACCATACAATGGCCAGACCACTTAAAAAAAATCAGAACTCTAAGAAACGATCTGCAACAACCTACCCAGGAAACCGACTCACTATCTACAGTTAGCAGTCCAGGAAGCCAATTTGTTATTTATAAATCAGACAACTATCTGAAGTCAGAACACTATCTCTAGTAACAACCCAGGAAACCAAATATAACAAGTGCCCCCAAATAGTCACTCCTGATTAATGATGATATTTTCCCTAATTCTTATCTCTGCTTCCAACTTCGGACCAACCAGAATATACACTCCTGATCAATCACATTGGATGCCTCACTCCTAACCAGCCTGCCTGTAGCTTCCCTATATGTATACCTCCAATCAAGTCATACTCACTCCACTTCCTGCCTCTGACTCAGCTAAAATGCAGATGGTAGCACTTCCTTGCAACCTCTGAACAAATAGCCTTCGCTTGTTCTCATTTGATTGCTCTTCCATTTATTTTCAAGCTCTCTTTATAAGAGAAAGGTAGACAGAGAGTGTTGAGATTCAGACACACAGAAAGACCAAGTGAAGATGGAGGCACAGACACCCAAGTCACATAGTCACCAGGCTAGGTATGTCTGGAGCCACCCAAAACTGGAAGAGACAAGGAAAGCTTCAAAGGGTACAAAGTCCTGTCAACACCTCTATTTTATAACCTGGCCTCCATAACTGTGAGGGAACAAATTTTTGTTATTGGTAAACCATCTAGTTTGTGGTAATTTGGTATGGCAGCCCCGGGAAACTAGTTTAAGCTTTTAAGAAGGAAAACTTTACCTTTTCATTAAAGATCCATAAACTGTAGTGGAAATGCCTTAAAAACAATGCTAATGATTTTTTAAAATTCCATTTGTTTTCATAAAATTTACATGTTAGGGTAAGTCTGGGGATTTCCCCAGCGGTTCCCCTTGAAAAGACAGGCCCAATCTGTCTTCAGAATAAATGTTCTAAATCTCTATGAGGAAGAACACATATAGTCAAATAATTAAAATGGAGAGGCAGAGTAGATGCTCTCCTAGCCTATCTACATTGGACCTCTAAGCAATTAACCCTATTTCTTTTGTAAATCTTAAGTGGCTAATTCCCATATCATGCTAAATGCTCATGACTAGCAAAGTTCCCTCCAATGAGGCTGCCCATTTTTGCACTACCAGATGCAGGGTCCTATGAGTTGCTTGTGTTTATTTCCAATCTGTTTATGCCACTTGTATTGGATACTGTGCTTTTATAACATACACATAAATAAAATAGCATGGATATAAAGTTTGTCATTTCTTTAAAAACTATGTTTAATATTTTGGAAAGATCCAATAAATTATGCTGTGTGAGATAACTATTAAAGATTATAAAGATTAAAATTGCACTCAGATTGCTTCACAAGTGCCTTTATTCTCCTCTTAAAGGAACAAAATCTGGGAAATCTTACTAGTGGGTTAGCTGTATGATTTATGCAAGAGATAAAATATAGAAATCCAATCAGTAGACCATGTGCAAAGAAAAGGCCCTGGGCTTTCTGAATAGATTGGCAAATGAGCAGACAGCTGTTTTAGGTAAAAAATAAAAGTTTATATTGTTACACTCTTTTCATGATTTTCTGACTTAACTGCTCTTTTCTATTTTAAAAAAAGCTTTGCTTAGATGTAATTTATGTAACATAAAGTTCATCCGTATACCGTATACAACTCAATGTATAACCAACTTTTTCAATTTATTGTTTGGATAGAGGTCTGGACTGCATCAAAGAGGGAACAAAATGCTAAAGAAACAATTCTGCATCTAGGATGGGAATTCAAGGAAGGCTATGTTTGAGCTTGAAGACTGAATAAGGAGCAGTTAGTTAAACAGGCATACAAAAAGAAGGATGTCCTAAGTAGAACAAACAGCAAGTGTAAAGATGAAGTCATGTGGCCTATCCAAGGAACAGCCTTTATTTGAATGGCTTGGGAAGAAGGCCATTATTTTTTCAAAACAAATTATGCATCTAAATCATCTGTAAAGAATAAAACAAGAAAGAAAAACATGACATGCCAGGACTGACTCTAGGAGATTTTGATTCAATGTATATCTGCGGTGGGGTTCCCTGCATTATTATTATTTTTTAAAGTTCCACTTTAATTCTGATGGGTAGCCATGACTGAAAACCACTGGGGTAGGATGAGTAAGAATGGGATGACAGATGAAGTTAGTACCAGAAAGTGAAAAGAAATGACTGTAGTTGGCAGAAGTTTTTCCCCCTTTAACATAGCACATGCCTTCCATACTTACCTGCTCAATATTTATTAAATCATATTCTTGGAGGAAAGGTAACAGATGCTTAATTGTACCTTTAACACGATTCTAAGGATTGGTGCCTTCTCCAATTAAAGGAACCAATAAATAAACGCAAATTAACAAACTTTCTTCTCTAATAACGTCACTATTTTTAAATAGTTTCTCTTTTTGTTTTTTACTGCCACTACTGATGCATGAAAGAATTTGAATTCTCAACACTGTCTATATAAATATAGTAAACTTGCTTTAACAACTACAAGACCTATATTTTGCTTGAGGTAAAAGTTAACATAAAACAACAGTGTACCTTCTGGTTAGGTGTACCACTTACCACTCAAGGTTCTTAACAGATGTCCAGGGAAAATACCAATTTGACAAGAACAGATGCCAGGGATAAGGAGAATGGGCTCCTATTCTGGGCTGATGCTCCCAGTCTCTGGTCAAGAAGAAACAGGTGCCCACCTCCAAGAGATTCTCTGTCATTCATGCAAAGCTTCTTCAGCACTTATCACCTGAACAATAATAAAAGGACCTCTTCTTCCATCTTAGCCAGTTCTACAGAGACTCTTATTCTGAGGAGGCAGGATTTTTTTCCCCTTCACCATCCTAGCACATGCCTTCCATACCTTAGCTGCTCAATATGTGTGAAATCACACTCCTGGAGGAAAGGTAAGGGACGCTGAATTGTACCTTTAGCAAGATTCTAAGAATTGGTGCCTTCTTCCAATTAGAGAAACTTACTATTTAAAAGGGCAAAAAAGGGGTAGGGGCATAAGCGACCCTTGTGTAGTCAATAAAAGTGAGGGAGCTGTCATGAGGATTGGCTTGTTCTCAAGAAAGGCAGAATCACCAAAAGGCAAACAAAACTATACTAACCAACCGCCCCCTAGAGGCCCGTTCCTTGAACCTGGAGGGGACAAGTCGCTAAGAGCTAA